GCTGTAAGAATACTGTGAAGTTGCTGGCAAGATATATCCATTGCAAATTACCCGATTGGATGCAAAGAGATTAATAAGCACGGATGTATGCACGTGATCAGATTGCCAGCCAACAAAAAAGAATCCACCGATTCTATCCAATTTTTTTTTCAACCGCGTGGATAACATTGCTCTCAATCAAACACATGGACAGGACGGTTGCTCAATAATCATCGGAATCCACCATACAATGCGTCGGCTTGAGCTTAGCCGTCGGTTCAGCAAACTACGAGATCTTCCCAGATCTCTCGCTCTAGCCCAGGTAGCGCGGGAAGTCTGGAGCGCCAGGGCACCAGAGAGGAGCTAGGAGGCCAGCTAATGAGCAAATCTGTGGCTGGTGGTTTATTTCCTTCGCTCTCAACAATGCTGAGTAACGCTTTCACTGGCTGACCTTTTGCTCCTAGCAAGGCAACGAATCTTTCCTGAAACATCCCAGCAATAATAGAATGACCGCGGTGGCTATGGCGCGTAAGCTAGGTTTATCCCTGGCATGAGGGTTTTCTTCTGGAGCGACTGAATCCCTTTTCCTCAGGTTCAATTCTATAAATATCAACGGGTGCCTTTCTCTGTTGAATTTGCTTTGTGTCTTTGCTTTTTCAACGTTTAGTTTCCTTGGGATATCTTTCGATGACCACAAAACGATTCTATCCTGCGTTTGTGAGGGTTGCCCTTTGACCCTGTTTCTCTCAGCTTGAGCGTCTATTTTGTTGCTTAGAAATTCTGTCGGGAAAAGTATTTGCTTATTATCCCCACAGTAGTGTTTTTTTTCTATGTTGAAGTAATCCATTCAAGTACTTTACACTAGCAATGTCTAGCACATCCCCATGGCCACGAGCGTTCCAACACCACGCAATGGATTTCAACAGCCCCACCCCGCTGGACTTCATCCGCGGCAAAACAATTCTGCTTACTGGTGGCGCGTCCGGATTTGGCGCCACATTTTTCTCCCGCTGGGCTGCTGAAGGTGCAACAGTGATAATAGGTGACATCAATACGGTAGCGGGAGCCGAACTCGTCGCACGTGTTCGGGAAGAAACTCAGAACCCAAACCTACATTTCCTACCCCTGGACGTAACCTCCTGGCAGTCTCAAGTCGACTTCTTCCGCGAAGCTGTGAAGCTCAGCCCGCATGGCGGGATCGATACTGTTGTGGCCAATGCGGGCATAAACAATGCGAAGGAGTCCAAATATTTCGAAGAGCCCCCAATAGACTACCAAAATGACTCCAACCCACCCGCACCGCGATTCTCCACCATTGATGTAAATCTTACCGGAACCCTATATACGACGCACCTAGCTCTATTCTACTTGCCCCGCAACCCAGGATCGATGCCATGCTCGCCGGCTTCTTCTGAATCTTATACTCAGCCGCCAGAAACCAGGGAAAGAGACAGACACATACTCCTCTTAGGCTCCGTAGCGAGTATCTTACCTCTACCTTCCCAGACTTCTTACTGCGTCTCTAAACATGGTGTTATGGGTCTTTTCCGTTCTCTGCGCGTCACAACCCCGCTTCGAGATGGGGTTCGGGTGAATATTCTCTGCCCGTACTTTACTGAGACTCCAATCCTCGGCATCAGCGGCAAGGTCATTTTATCCGGCGCCGCACTGACAGATATTAATCACGTCTGTGATGCGGCGACGCGCTTTGTGGCGGATCCTGGGTGCGTGGGTCGCAGTGTGGTGATTGCGCCGAAGCTCAGGGTTCGGTCTCCCCTGTCTGGACTTGCTCCTGACGGCGAATCGGAAGGAGGAGAGGAACGGATCCCAGGGATGGGTGGGTTGAAGGGTATTCCTGATATGCAGGACGTGTACGACCTTGCAACGAATCCTACAAATAGTGGGCTGAGGGCCGAATCGAAAGCTGGTGGAGATGGGAGGGAGGTGAGGGATATCGCGATTTGGGAATTTTACACGCATGATTTGGATGACTCGGAACTATTCACCCGGAGGATTGTTGGGATTTTACTGATCACGGCTAGGGTAAGAGGCTGGTTGTTGTTTATAACGGATCTATGGAACGGAGTTACCATGGTTTTGAAAAAAGCATTAGGTGGTGGTGAGAAGAGAAAGAAAAATGTTTAGTATTTGGAGGCAGAAAGACAATGTTTGTTTACCTCTTGTTGGCGATCAACTTTTCTAAGGTTGTTATTGTTATTCTACGTGTCTGCGGTGTTCACGTGCAAGGCAAACGCCGACTTAGTTTTCCCTGTTCCATGTATCTTTAGCATATGTTTATTCTTCAAGGAATGTCAGCCATTCAGCTAGTATAGGGCTGTTTTTTGCTCCCACATAACCTCCAGTCCTCTGTTCCTACCTTATCTAAATGCAGAATACTCAATGGCTCAGTTTCATAGCTCGCTATAGCTTACAATGAAGCTTGTATGATGAAGCCATATACTGTACTAAATATACTTTCATAAAACCCGGAACTAAAAAAAAAGATTTGGTAACTTATATTAAAAGTACTTGATACCAAGGATTAAACCTAACTTAAAATCAGAGATGTAATGATACAAAACAAATGGCAGTAGCTCGAAACAAGGTACCCCCGCAATGCCCCGCAATGCCCCAAAAGACGCTAAAAATTCATGGCCTACATGAGTGCAAGCTTTTTGTTGCTCTCAAATAGTTGAACAAGGGACATAAGCGCCCTCTTCAGGCCAGAATCGGAAGTCCCACATAAATCGACCAGGAGTGCATCCGCAACTTCATTAAGACGGTCGTGGATATTCGCATATCTCGGATGCGAAGGGCGTTCTTGAACGCGCACCTGCGAAGTCTTCGATGGAGGAAACCCTAATCTTGCCCTTGCTTTGCCAGAGATACCGTCCACGACACTTCCAATAATGGTATGGTTGCCATTCGTATTATTCTGACATGCCTCTAGTGAAGACAGGTATATTTGAGCGACGAAAACGGCGCATAGCGAGCTGAGCTTCTCAACTGGTGCCCCCGGAAAAATTTCTTTGAATGGGGTTAGGAGGGCTTTTTCAGATGTTGAGCGCATAGATGTAATGACTGGGGATGAGAGATCGAAAACTGGCAAGGGAGTTTGCATTATCAATGTTTCGAGGTGATCAAGTGCACAGCCCGCACTCCAGGATGCTGTCTTCAGGGCTCTCTTGTGAGTTGTGTCTTTGTTTCGGCTCGCCGTGGAACCACTCTTGTGTAACGGGGAATTTTTCTGTATCCATCGCGGAATCTGTTTCTTAAAGCTAATACGGCGTAATAATCCTGATGAGCTATCTACCGGCGGGTCACTCAGGGATAGTCGGGATGTATCACCAGTAGAGTTGTAAGATCCTTGGCCTGCGCAGCCACTATCATCGCCAGACCCGGGAGGTCGTTCGGTGTGCGGCGAGAGGTTCAAGCAGCTGAATGCAGATGGAAGTTTTTTAGACGCGGGAATCGATTGGGCGAATGCATCCGCTTCAGATTTGCCACATGGAACAGCAAGACAGGATGTGGATTTCGGGATCGTAATCAACCTTGGCTTTGCCATTCGGTCAATCTTTATAGGCTTCTATCGTCTTCGTTAGTAATGTACGAGTAATTTGCGCGTGTTAAATTACTGGGCCTCACCGCAACCTCCGATGATCCACATAAACTCTCCGAGGAGCTATGTTGTCTATATTGCACGATCTGGCACCTGCGCTTTTGAATTTTAGGCAGGTCATGAGCATCAGCATTTCCGTAATTCGTGCTGATGAATTCACCGAAAAGCCAACATTCTTCGGTTTCGAATGTTTTATTTGTGGGGCTTGTGATTCTCGTGACAGATACAGCGGAAGATTGGAGAAGTTGAGAGGATGATTTCTGGATTCGAAGTTTTCCTAAACTGATAATCTTATTAGATGCGTTCGGATATCTACGCTGGCAGTGACATCAAACCTTTGGCGTCCGGCTTCAGCTGAATATTCTTCATCATGACGAGCTTCCAAAGAGGGAGCTACCATCATCCCAGCCATGGTTCCTCGCAGCAGAACGCTGCCGAAGTTCGCAAAACGGAATAGTTAACGCGATCCGGTTGGAAATTGGCCGTCGCGTAAATGCATGTTGTGGTGATCCAGGTTGCTAAAAGTCCGGCGCAGATGAGTGAGGTTCCAGTGCATCAATGCGGCATGTGCCAACTGGACAGGACGAAATATTTATTATCCAAACTGACAACGTGGGGATGTAAATTGCACAACAACAGAGGCAAATTACGGAGAACGAGCCGAAGAGATAATAAGCTACCATATTTTGTGCAACCATGGCTGAAGCTTTGACGTCCCATTAAATTTGACTCGAAAAAGGGGATATTTCTGTATGCAGTGTTTGATAGATAAAAACAAAGGCAACAAGGGCGAACGGCTGGCCCGACCAAACGAGGCCAATTAGCTCAGTTCGCGGCACGCGCCCACCCGAACCAAGCTCCAAGCTTTGGGCGAGCATACCCTGAAACAATTAAAGTCATCGTCATCGCCACGACGTTTGAGTTATAGAGAACAATAAATAAGGAGAGCTAGGGAAGGTGGAGACAGTAGCGGCAAAGATTCAGGGGTAATATTGCATTTTGAAATCCGGGGACGTGAACGATATCGTAGGGCTTGAGCGACGGGGTGAATTGATGATGCGATGATATGATGGTCGGTGCTGCTATTGGCGTCTGGGCCCGTCCTGAGTCTACTTCCATGTCCCTGGTCCAGACTTCGAAAGTGGGCTGGCAGGTATCCCAAAACTTGTTTTCCATATAAGCCAACCCCCTCGATTCCCTTTTTTGTACCCTCGCTCCCACCCTGGATGGTTGCATATAAATAATGCCACCACAGTCTGCAAGCCACAAGTCACCAGCTCGACACGTTTGCCCCTAGGCCATCAGGGCTGTCAAACAAGGAGTAAATGTAAGACTGAAGCGACTTCACAACGAGGATAGAGAAGAAAGAAGGCTCTTTGGCTCTTGGAATATTCTCTTGAGGTGGGATGTCGGCTTATCTCGGCGAATATATGATCCGTCATCTGATAAGCTCATCTCGCAAACAAAGCAAACACAAAAATTATTCGTGGAATAAATCTTGCTGGATATGGATTTGGATAACTTCAAGTTATGGCAATCTACGAGAGGACGGGATCGAGGGAATCGGGAACTAAAATCATATAGATTCGGAGAGGTTGTTCCAGGAGCAGACAGCTCCTTTCACTTCTAAATGCTCTCCGAGAGCTTTGTTGCGTCGTTCCTAACGTCCAACAACCAACAAATCTCGCCCGCGCTCAAGGATGTTGGGATTTGTCTCCATGAATTTCAGCCCTCGAAGTCACTTCGCCTGACTTTGAAGAAGAGCTCTACTGACCCCAATGGTTTGGCTGTTGGGAGCTCA